GATAGTAGTAGGTACTCTACTCATTTTCATTTCAAGTTTAACTTGCTTAGGTCTGTGTGGAGATTCTTAGTAAACAGAGTAACTGATCCCACAGCAGTTTCAGAAGGGAAACCACTTTTATTCCTCGGTATAAGAATTATTAATGTCATTTTACTCTTGATTCAGTCTCATCCTTAAACTTTAATATTCACTAGGCTCTTTTAGTCAAATTACTCGTCTCCTGAATTTGACATTTCCTTTTTTCTTCTTCCTTAGGATCCATTTCTGGGAAACTGTTTTGAACAGGGCTCCTCACAGTTTTCATGTTTGAATTCAATACCACGACATTTCAGCCTTCTTTTTTTATTCTTTCTGGCCTCCGAGGGCTGGTGGGTGCCCGCCTATGGCTGGGACCACTCTTGAGCCTGATGTACATTACTACAATGGCAGGAAACTGCACAGTAATATACTTGGTGAGGACTGAGAGGAGTCTACAGGAGCCTCAGTACCATTTCTTATCCATGCTGGCTGGGGCTGATATTGTCCTCTCTATCTCCACCCTTTTGTCTGTGCTCAAGGTCTTTATCCTTGGCCTCTATGTAATTGCATTTGATAGTTGCCTCACTCAACTCTTCTTTATTCATACATCCTCTTCCATGGGCTCAGGTATCCTGTTGGCCATGGCTTTTGACCGCTTTGTGGCCATCAGTCACCCCCTGCAATATACCACCATACTCACCAACTCACGAGTCACCAAAATGGGACTGGCAGCCTTGCTGAGGGGTGTAGCACTCATGACTCCATTGCCCATCCTGCTAAAGAGGCTGCCTTTTTGCAAGGGCCAGATGCTCTCCTATTCCTACTGTCTCCATCCAAATGTCATGAAGCTAGCTTGTGGTCAAGTCAAAATCAATATTTTCTATGGTCTGATTTTGGTCATCTTTTCTTTTGGGATTGATTTTCTCCTCATAGCCCTTTCTTATGTTCTGATATTCCAAGCAGTGCTGGGTATTGCTTCCAGAGAAGGACAGATGAAGGCACTCAATACATGCTTGTCTCATATCTTTATTGTGTTTATTTATTATGGACCTCTCCTGGCAATAACTGTAATGCATCGAATCCACCACAAAAGTTCTCCATTGGCACATGCAGTCCTGGGAAATATTTACCTCTTTATGCCCCCAATGCTCAACCCAATTGTGTATAGTCTGAAGACCAAACAGATCCGTGCTGCTCTGAGAAAATCTTTCAAGGTCCAGCAAGCATGAAGAATTAGAAAAGTTAAAGATGATTTAAATGAGGGAAAATAGAACTTTCAATTTTATAATTATTTAAAAATTGAATATTCTTGCTGTAATTTTACATATAGGATGTGGGTATAAATATGAATATGATGATAAAATCTTCTAAATTACAATTTATGAATAAAGATTATACATTTATGTATTCATAATATTGTCTTTGCTCCCACATTCCTTAACATGTGTTTTGAGATATTTTGTGAACAAAGTTGAAACAAATGAGAAATACTTGGCTAGAGTATTCATGCAGCTCCTTGTCATAGATAGTTCTAATGTTTTTCCATATTTCCTAAGAAAGTTTATAATTCAACAATTTTTCGAGAAGACCAGAGAGTTTAGCAAATCTCCAACCATATATTCTAACTTTCCATTTTATTTTCTTTCCATATGTTTTATTATATTTTCTAAATTCTTCCATATTATTTTGACTATATCAAATTACAGGTACCTGGATCATAGTAGAAAATGTATAAATAATTTTGTGTATTACTCTGTTTGTTTATCCAAGATTTGAGTCAAATACAATAAAATTCTTTCCAACTCCTCCACTAAGATATGAAAATCCATATTTTTTAAAAAAGTTGTTTATCCAAGTTTCCTACAGATTGTACCATTGTTACTATGTTTACTGTTTTTTATTTTCTCCACAGACATGGAACATATTCTATATTATCACTGAGGAAATTTTTACTCATTTATGATCTTCATATAGGTGTGAGCACTCAGTCAAAATTAAATTATTGAAATTCTGCTCCAAATTCTTCCTTTTATTAAATTCCTATTGTATGTAAATTATGATTAGAATGTCTATGTTGCTATAGTGAAAAGAATCTTATTATCTCTATGTACCTCCTACATTTCTTCACCTTTCACTCACTATGTCTCCTAAATATATCTTAAATGTGTCCACTCATTTACATTCTATATTTTCTTCACTAGTTCAATGTTTCACTTCACTAGTTTAATGTTTCCTTCTTTATCTATTTTAATTTCTGAATTTTCCCACTTAACATTAACTCATTCTCAAACAATTGCTTACTTTGCTCCCTAAACTGCAAAACAAATATGATCATGTTGAATCTTTGAGTTTTTGCAATTGAATTTTTTGTCTGTTATGACAAATTTAACTTAATGTTTATGATATCGGAGGCTGTCCATGATCTGACCTTTTCCCATTTTCTTTCACACCCCATTCTTACTAAAAAATCTTTAGTTCTCTGAACAATGCATGCTAGTTCAGATTCTTTTTATATTTTTGTATTGTTTAGCCTTATATACACTTCACATTCTTTATTAAGGAAAAAATGTTCATCATTGGAGATCCTCTTGTAAGTTCTAAAAAGAAAAAAAAAATACATATATATATATATCTCAGAACTGGAAATTGTACCCAAGGGAACTCTACCACTGAACTATGTCACTAGCTCTTTTATTTTAATTATTATGTTTATTTTTGAGATAGTATCTTGTTAAGGTACTACCCTGCTTCAAGCTTCCCAAATTGTTGAAATTATAGGCATGAATCACTACACTACCCAGTTCTTCAACCAACATTTTGTTAATGAAATTTCATCGTTGACCCAATGATCCTGAGTGCGGTGGTCTTGTGAGACTGAGCCCTTGCTCATTGGTATCTGATGCTATCTCCTGACAGATGGTGTCAGAATTGAATCAAATTAACATATATCCAACTAGTATCCACTGGAGAATTGTTTGCTTGGTTTTAGAAGCATTCTGTGCTATATTGAGTAGCTATGAGAATAGGAAAAATCCTTTTGGTTGGTTTCCCCCTGTATTCTCAGTGTGTGTGTAAGGGGTTGGGAGATGGAGAAAGATTAAAATACAATAGAAGAAATAATAAAGTTAAATATTCAAGAGACTTCCAAAAAGAAAAATCTAATAATAGATAAAATGCTAAATAATATATATGAAATAATGTCTTAATATATCATCAGAGTGACCTTGACTATTGTGAAAATAGTATCAAGGTGGTAGACATTAACCCAACCCAAGAAGAACATTTCAACATCCTGCAAAAAATATTGAAATTGGCTAATAGAATACTAACTTTAATATAATTAATATATGTTAATACCAATTAATCAATTAAATAAATAAATGTAAAACACTGACTAAAGCTCTTTTAACCACCGCTTGCTATTATCCTTTGCCACCCTTCCTTTCCTGCAAACTGTCTTCAGTAGTTGTACTCTATTACCTGTATCTCCTTTAGGTATAGTCCTCTGTCCTACTCCCATACCTTTGCATATACTTCTAATTTTGCCTAATATATTCAATCTACTTTCCCCTGACTAAGAGCTGTTAGTTTTTACTTTTTTCATTTCCTCATTTTAGTCTCTGACTCTTACAGCCTGTTTAATACATCTCACAGTGATCTGACCTTACCTTTATGATGGACACTGTATATCCATTATGTACTCTTTGCCTTTCCACATAGACTCTATTCAAAACTAAAGCAATTTTCTGCATTATCTTCATATTCCCAGATCTCAGCAAATAAGAAACATATCAATTAGTTTAAAAGAATTATGGAAATGAAGAAGATGGGTGGGGGGAGGAAAGGAGACAGTCTAGCAGTTCAGCAGACACAAAGGAATTCATCATGTTCAGGAAACTTGTTTCCACCTGTTATTTTCCAGGGCTTCATATAGGTACTTGTTTTCACCTGTTATTTTCCAGGGCTTCATATAGGTACCAGGAATACATTTTTGAACAACAGAAGAAGTTTACTCACCCTTGTGGAATTTACATTCTAAAAATGAGGGAAACAGGGAAAACACAAAGCACTACCTTTTCTGAGAATATTGGTTCAATCAGAATAATACTCCAAGTGAGAAGACAGGGTGGTTTCTTATATACACAGTCTCTTCTTCTCAGATGACCATTCTTCTCTCCATACCATGTCAGGTACTCTTGTCTCCTCTGAATTTATCCTCAGACGTACATTTAGTGTTTTTCAAACAATGAACTCTTGTCTCCTAAAGTTTATTCCCTGCCCATCAAATGAAAAAGACCTTGCCTGACTATGCTAAGTAAATATAGATGTGTTGTCCTGGAAGAGTAACCTAAAAGCTGGTGTTTTGCATTTTTTTAAATTGTTTTTTGACATTTGTATTAAGTTTTAATATTGATATAATTTTACACTTTCAAAAAGTCAAATAGATCCCCTTATTGTTTATCCATTGACACATTAAATGGTAGATAAACTTTCATCAACTTTAAATTTATCATTTCTAGTTAACAATACAAAAATATTTTTACCTCCCCTAATTTTCAAATTTTTCACTTATGCTAATGGATGATTCCTTGGAAGAGTAATTTGAAATTTATAAAAACAAGTTAATGTTTTTTTTTTTCTTTTTGCTGCCTAGTTCTGGTTTCATTGCTATTTTCCATAAGATGGTCATTAACTGCTCAGTTTCAACAGACTTTCAAAGTACACCATTTCATGTGTTTCTTTAAAAGAGAAAACAAAACAGAAATACACATATCACACACTGATGTTTACAAATACTACCATTTCACAATGTGGTAATTTTCTTCTTAGACAATAAACAAGACACCACCATCTTGGCAGACAAGAAAATATATCAGTTCTTGTAAAACCATATCTTGAAGTGATGACATATTCCCTAGAGAAGCAGATAGATCAAAGGGCAGAGAAGGTCAGGGTGTCTCTTTGACTAAGGCCATATGGGACTACATAAAGTTTGCCTTGCTCTTGAGTATCTTGTGCATTGCTAACCTTATCTGTTTGGTTTTTAGGCTATAAACCAAGGGATTAAGGACAGGAGTCAGAAAGAGGAAGAGATTGGCCATGGTGACATGGAGAAGAGGAGATGTGAACGTACCAAACCTGTGAATTAAGGCCAACACAATGAGGGGCACATAAAAGATAAAGACAGTGAAGATGTGAGAAACACAAGTATTAAGTGCCTTAAGTTGACCATCTCCTGAGGCAACACCCAGCACTGTTTTCAAAATCAAGATGTATGAAATGACAATGAATATAGAGTCAATTGCAAAGGAGCAGAGGACTAGAGACAGTCCGTAGACAATGTTGACTCTCACAGAGCCACAGGCCAGCTTCATCACATCAGGATGGTAGCAGTAACAATGGGACAGAATGACACCTTTGCAGAAAGGCAATCTCTTGAGCAAGATTGGCAAAGGCACCATCAGCAGCACACCCCGAAACACAGCTATGAGCCCTATTCCTATAATTCTAGGAGGAGTTAAAACCACAGTATAGTGCAGCGGGTCACAGATAGCTACAAATCGGTCAAAAGCCATGGCCAGCAGGATGGCTGACTCCATGGAGGAGAAGGTATGAATGAAGAACATCTGTGCCAGGCAAGAATGGAACTCAATCTCCCTGTGATTCAGGAGGAAGAACTTGAGTACTGTAGGTAGAGTTGATAAAGACAGACCCACATCTGTAGCTGCCAGCATAGACAGGAAGATGTACTGAGGCTCATGAAGGATGGAGGTGGTTTTGATAACGAAGAGGATGGTGCAGTTTCCTAGGAGGGCAACTAGGTACATGAAGCCCACTGGAATAGAGATCCATATTTGTACAAACTCCAGTCCAGGAATGCCTGTTAGAAGGAAAGTAGGTGGCTGAAACCAACTCTTGTTTGTAAGCTCCATATCATGCCCAGAGCAGTTTTCAAATGTTCCTGTTGCAAGAAAAAAAAAATCATAAATTTTAAGATAGGAAGAGATAACTCATCTGACTCCTCCAGGGCAGTATTAATCCTAGATATGTTTACCTTAAGGAATTAATCCTTAGAAAGTTTTCAAACCTATCTGAATGACTATTTGCAGTTAGATCAATGAATAACTGCTATGAAAATATAAGACTATTTTAATTCCTTTGATCTAGAACATTCAAACATTGATCAAGTGAAAATGAAACTTGAGAACATTATTTATTATCACAATTCTTAGAAAAAAAAATCACTCTCTCATGTCTTTCCTTCTTGGTATTATTTAATTATATTTGTGTCTACTCTTATTTTTAGTCATCTTGAAAAATCTCTTAAAGACATTGTAATACTTCTCCTCCATTAATATCATACCTGTGAACACTCAGGCATCTGGAAATATGTGTGGTTTTCTTGATATTTCTTCCTGTAAAAATAGACAACAGGTATTTCAGTAACTCACATAAACTCCAATTCACTTTTAAAAATTTTAAGCAATATGTTTCACTATAACAATGAATTTCTGGGTTCTCTGTTATTTTTGTTGTTTTTATGTTTTTAATTTGTTTTAATTAGTTATACATGACAATAGAATGCACTTTGGTACAACATATATAATTGAGTATAATTTCTCATTCTTCTGGTTGTACATGATATAGAATCCCACAGGTCTTATAGTTATATAGGTATATATAGGGTAATAATGTCTCATTCATTCTATAATCCTTCCTATACTCATACCTTCTCCCCTCCACCTAAAATAAAGTAACTCTATTCTTACCCAGCCCTCTTGCCCAATTGTGAATTAACACCCACATATCAGAAAAAAACATCTGGCCTTTGGGTTTTTTGGGGACTGGCTTATTTCAGTTAGTATGATATTCTCCAGCTTCATCTTCATCAATATATAACAATGATGAAATTATTAAAGTGGGCATTATAATTTCTCAGCTGATGCTAAAATAGTATCAAACAACAACAATTTCTTGAAAACATTTGAAATATCTCTTTTCCAAAATACAAAGGCAATGTATTAGAAACCAACAAATACCAATATCTTAATAAATGTCTTAAGGTAGCATAATTGGAAGAAATGGTATTATTTTATGTTTTTATACCACAAAGAAGAGAGAAAAGATACTACTTAAGTTTGGTTAAATACATTTAGATTTAAATACTTTAAAATTGCAATTTTCTATACAGAAACAGTAAATACTGATGGAACTAGATTTTAATATGGAGAAAGGGGTAAGAAGGAAAGTACCTAACCAATATAATCCCTTAACAAGAGGAGCATGAATCTGAACCCAATGCCTTTTGAAGAATTAATATCAACTAAAAATATGACAAAAAGTCCAGAAGTACCAGAACAAAAGTTAAACAGAAGTTAATGAACCTTTTTTCCCCTCAGAAAAAGGGCTATAAGCACAAAAGATTCTGGCAAGAAACTAGTCCATTTTCTTTTCCTCTCAGCCAAAATGCAAAATTTTGAACCATTTTAGAACTATGTAAATTAAAAAACAATATTTTACATGTAAATATATCTTTGAAGAGCAAATGCCACTATTTACTATTTGCTGATTTCCATTCACGGATGTGTAGACCTATGTTTGATCTGATCAATCTCTATGCAGACATTCTCAGCACTGCCTGCCTGCCATGCCCTACTGCATGCTTTCATGCTATGACTATATTTTTAACAACTTAGAATACTGAGGACAAATAAGCCTAATACAACTCTACCATCTGGACACACAGAGTATCAGAGTCACTTAGCTTACTGAGAAAAAAGTCATAATGCACAGTAGACTGGAGTGTCCATACACACTGCAAATACTGCCCAACTTATCACACTGTTTCTCAGCACATTAAGAGAAGAACTTTCCTATAAACATGAAATTCTCACCTACCAAATCACCTCACCCATCTTAAATATGCACAGATACACATACTACAAATTCTTTTTTTTAGTTTTATTGATTTCATTTTTTAAATACACAACAGCGGAATGCATTACAATTCTTATTGCACATATAGAAATACAATTTTTCATATCTTTGTATGTAGAGTATGTTCATGCCATTTCATGCCTTTATACAAGTATTCTTATATACACATATAGTCAGTTCTCCTTTTGCTTATCTCCTCCAGAACACATTGAACCTCACTCACTGTTTTTATACTCATTTTTCCCTCTGTTCTTCGCACTGATTCAGGCACTGCTTACACAGCCAGCATCAAGACCATTATCAACATCTTGCAAACACTAGAGTAAAACTCAAGGATGCACTTGGTTCTTATCACTTCCTAGTTCATTTTTATACTTCTTATATCTACATCCCTGGCTCTCTTCACTGGGTATACCTTTTGTTTCTACCAATTTTATTTTTTAACCCAAATGGGTTGCCTATGACTTACTCATTTTCATATCAGAATTTTTGTGCACCAGTTCATCACATACTCAAATGTAACCAGAACTTATCTAAACATGACAGCTATTAAATCAAAAGATTAAAGATCAGTATATATTCAACATTCTATTGATATAGTCCTGTGATTACTTCATATCACAAGAATCCCTCCTCCCATTAAATTCTTACTGAAAGCACTACTTCATTCCTCTATTTGACACTTATTACATATTATCTTCTGCCTGTTACCTAAGTGAGTTTCCCTTAACCAATGGGACTTTAAATATCTTTGAAATTGTGATTGTAGATGTCAAAGATCAATTAGGATTTTCCAGATCTGCTTGGACATATGAGGCCCATAGTAGATTTTGTTTCAACAAATAAATCAATAGTTTAGAGGGTGTTACTGTAGCATATTCTTCATAAATATGGTGAGACATAAAACTCACCAGTAATCAAAGATCCATTTTAAACTCTGATGTATAAAAAGATTTCAAGGCCATACTTTCTCTAGGAGTATTTAGAACTGAACAACATATGTCACTAAACCTGAAAGTAGAAGAAGAGATGTTTATAATATGATAGAGAATGTTCTAGAATTTGTCAACTTACTCAATTGCAAGCTATCTTTGCCCAGATTTCCATGGACCTTTTGGGTAGGTTATCCATTCTAGTCAAAAAGATATTCTTCCCACTATACTTGGAGATCCAAAGACATTTAGCTAACTAGTACCTCCCATTTATAACCTCCCCTAAAATACTTTTTAAATGTTTTTGTAAATTTGTATATTAATGTTATACTTAGTAATGGGGGTTCATTTTGCCATATTCACAAATGTACAGAATATACTTTTTTCCACTTCAATCCCAGTACTTTTTCTTTTCCTCCTTCCTCCCTCTCCTGTTCCACTTTCAATCCTGTAATGATCTTCTTTATCTTTATTTATTTTTTAAATTCATGCTTTGTGGATATACACAACAGTGGGATTCCCTGTGGTATATTCATGAATATACATAGCATAATTTGGTCAACTTCATTGCACAGTGCCTCACTTTCCTATTTTTCCTCCTTCCCCCTCAATCTCCTTCTCCTACTCCACTGAGTTTAAATCCTTTTTAATTATGTTTTTCCAATCTCTCAGCAGGCCCAAACAGCACATTTTCTTTTACTTGTGCACTAGGGTTCCCCATCAGCTAAACCTTAGCTCCTCTAGCTTTATTCTTGGTTTCTCAATGAAGACTCTATTTTCCCCTTTTCCAAACTCTCTTCCATGGTGATCTTCCATGACTCTTCATTGAAAAAGAAGGAAACCTTCAGTTGGGCAACTCATAAAGGCAGTGCCCTATCCTTGTTGTTTAGTGAACACACTGCGTGGTCTCCTCACCATGAAACCAGAAGCCTCAGCACAAGTTGGTAAATGAGTTCAGCAGCACAGTTCTCTTTCAGTCGCACCCTCTTTGGCTCAGGTGATGAAAAGGTGCATTGTTAGGAGTTGCTAAAAACCTTTGATAGAGGTGTCTGTCTGACACTTAAGTGATTATAATCAGTAGAGAATTACAGATGGAAGGTGCCAGAGGGATATTTTTTAAATATTCCCTTGAGATTGTGGTTTTAATGTGACACAAATGAGATGCCACAAAAACAAATTACTTAGAGACAAGCCATACTAAAGTTTCTTCTCTCAATACTACAGAGCTCTTACCATTTATCATAATTCAAGCATGAGACCCCTTGTTCCTCTACTGTCCATCACAAACATGTGATGAGTTCTGCTTTACAAATAATTGCTCCTGATAAATGATTCATTAATGTCCAGGTTTTGGGCCATTTGTGAGGTAAATAATTTTGAACTGTGATTCTTAACTTTCTTTCTGTGAAGTTGAGAATTAGAAATAGTCTCTTTTTTAACCTGCTGTTATAAGTGCCCACTATCATTATTATACAGTTTTAAAATATTGCAATGCTGTACATTTTTTGATGAACATAGGTCCAGTTAGTCTGAATGAGTGTGGTCTCATTAAATGTTTTATTTTTCTGTTCTTTTTTCCTTATCAGGCTGTTGGTTGAAATCCCCCAACCCCACGAATGCACTTTTCAAGATTTATTATATATTTCCTATTGTATTTTTCCCATTCTTTTCAAAGTTTTATGATTTATTTCCTATGTTATCCCAAATGCCTAAGACAGTCTGGTATATAAACGGGAATCAATGTTTGATTAATGAATAAGGAATAAATGGGGACTTCCAGTTTTAGTCAATGGAGAAGGGTTGTATATCTTCCACCTAAAACAGTAAAAGTATATAAATAATGAATAAATGAAGAAACTGTTTTCAAAATAATGAATATCTGGCATCAAAGTACTATAATCTCTTAGAAATAGGGAAGCAAACATGCTAAGAGTTACAATCACTGCATCTCCCTGCTTTGAGTTTTTAGGTCAAGGTAAATGAAGGGGGAACCTAGACAGAGCCTATAAACCCACAGAGATGACAATTCATTGCTGAGGAATGAAGGGAACCAAAGTATTGAG